TTTTTTTTTTTTTTTTTTACTCTTATTAAATCTGAACATTTAAAGTATCATTCACAACCTGTATCTGTTGGGTCTGAGTCTCAGCCCCCCCTTGTTTGCATGCAAATAACTGTGTGTGCAGTTTAGGCCAGTTAGAGATCTAACTGGTTGATTAATAGAAGCAGATTGGCTCTGAGGTGCTTAGGCACAGAACTGCCATTGACTTAAGTGCAAGTTGGGTGCTTGAAGAGTTTTAAAATAAAACTTGCACCAGTGAATAAATACAGTTGCAAAAATTTACATGTAAAATAGAGACTCTCTGAGGAATCTTAACCTCATTTGTCTTATTTCCCTAACTGAAAATTTGAAATGGGGGAATTGCTTTGCCTTGATTCGCAAGTTTGCATCACATGAATACTAATGGAAAAGCATCCGGTAGAAAGACCCTGGAACTTTAAGCTCTTGGGGGCAGGGACTGCATCAAGCATCGTATATCTGCAATGCCTCGTACAAAAGAAGTCTCAGGCCCTCCTGGATTCAGTTCAATATAGGTAAAAGTGCACACTGGTAAAGCAGCCTAAAGCATTAAGAAAAAACATAGGCCTAAAAAAATGCAGGGATCTTTAATCAGCAGTACAGTTTTCTTCTCTCATCTCAACAGTAATGAAGGCAAGTCATAGTCTTTCTTAGAACTTGGTCCACAGGGTCTCTTGATAGAGATTTTGTCAGGTGTAATGGGCAATGCTTATAATTGGAGAGGAAGATACCTTCTCCCTTAAGTCTGTTTTCAGCTGCTTTGCTGAGATTAAGCCTGTGTATCCTTCTGAATGGCATGATCAGATACTTGCTGTCCCCTGCCTGCTAGCAGGTTTCTTCTAAACATCATTCTGTTTTCTGAACTTCACTTTCTCCTTTTTCAGATGGCTTGACAGACTGTGTAGATCCTGATTGTTGTCAGCAGAGCAATTGCTATGCAAGTCCTCTCTGCCAAGGTTCACCTGATCCCCTTGACCTCATTCAGCATAGCCAGCCTCCCTTCTCTCAGCATCCTCCACGGCTCTTTTATGATCGAATCAAATTCCTCATTGGGAAGGAGAGCACTCACGTGATCCCAGGAGATGTCTCATTTGATAGCAGGTAAGTTTCATTTGTAATGAAAGAGCTTTCTGAACAGTGAACACTGTGCTGAAATTATTTTAATAGCAGAGCTTTTGATACCAAAGTTCTCTTGGAAATCTTTTCTCTACATTATTGATGTCTAAAAAATAATGAAAAGAATCATAAACTATTTTGAGGTTCTGGCAACTTGGAGCTTGCCCTCCTACAGTGCTAGCTCTGACCTCCTAACCTGTAGAATTTTTTATAATGGTTTGACTATCATAGGAGATAAAATACTCTGTTGTCTGGGAACATGAGAAATAATGAATTGTTATCATTTCACAATTCTGTCCTGCATGTGAGAGAAACCAGGGACAGGAAATAAGAGACTGGGTTGGACTCATCCGTGCCTTATCCAGCCAGCTCCTGGCTCCAACAGAGTTTAGAAGCTTGTAATGTATGTACCTAAGTGTATGTATTTTCCTTATTCATGTGACAAATGCCCCGTAACCTGATTAGCAGGTGGAGTCAGCACATATTAAAAAAGGATACAGTTTGCTATTTTACTCTTTAATTGTCATGCAACTGGAACAGTGTGATCTCCGAAATGAGAGTCAGTTCTCTACTTGTGAGGTTGTGGTGTTCTTTAACAGGAAAGAAATATGAGAACAGGGAGGGGCAGGTACAGGCTCAACAGACCCAGTTACATATACTTTACTCTTGAAAAAAGTGAGTAGATCTGAAATACAGAGGCAAATAAGTTTTCATACATCATTTCACCGTAGGAAGCTGTAACTCTTATACCAACAAAGAGGTCCACAAATCTCCTTACATCACCTAACCATATTCAGGCAACTGTCTCAGCCAGAATGTTAGATAATCCAACCCCCAGTAATATGGATGCTACTGGGTTGGTTTTTGTTCTTTACACAGACATGGTGTGTTCGCTGCAAACATATCTGCACACAGATTCAGTGTGCTCTCTTTTGATGTATTGCTTTTTAATAATGTAAATATGTAAACAAAATCTTCATTGATCCGAACTACCTAAACATTTAATCACGATGAATAATGCAAGAGGGTGTTATAAATATGTAGAACAATGCTACATGAGCTGAAGTGCACCTATATGGCAACCCCAGGCCCTTGCTGTGTAAATCACTAATAAACCAGTGCTCTTGTACCTGGTACAATATCCTGGGCTGCGCATATTTAACACAGTATATGACTGTTTAAAACAGAAGTCTTTAAACGCAACATGTCCCTCATCGAAACATCCACAAGAACCAGAAGGTGAGCAGTACAGTAGGTTGGACAATATCTTGTGACATTAGAAATGCTAGCAGCAGGGTTGCATGCAAGTAATCGAACATGGTTTATATAGATATAAAGAGCTAATCTTTTCAGACTGTTGTCATTGATACAGTGTAACTTGGATTTAAACATCCTCACTTTTTACCTGGCATCTAGAGGGCTTTTGGAGTGTGGACAATAATGGTGGCCTGTTTCATGGGTACTCCTTAGTAGCTAATGGAAGAGAAGAGGCTACATAAAGCTCTAGGGGACAGAATTATCTCTCCACTAGACCAATAGATGCTCTATTGATGATTGATGGTTGGCTTTTAAAAAAATCTTCACTGGCATGACAGTGTTCCAGCATCATCCTCTGCACAGTCTATAGATGATTTGCAATCATTGAATTAGAAAGGTAAAGAAGAAAATGTTCAAAAGACTCCTCATTCTTACCATCTGAAACATTTTTTCTTCTGTAGCATTTGGCAGATCTTGCCCAGCGGATGTCATTGATGTGCTAGGTAAATTGGGCACTGATGCCTTATTCAGAGGCTGACTCAAGATCCAATGAAGTACTGTTTTGTTTTTTTTACAAAGAAAATCATGAGGACTCAGATCCAACTGCACTGGCAGAAGCAGGGTGAGGCTCTGAGGAGACAAGGCTTCATCATCATCATCTTCATCATCATTTAGCAACAGCATCCAGCGGTGCCCTGGAAGTGTTTAGGGAACTTCTTGGTACAGATTGGCATAGTCTTTCCAGGATGCTGCAGGCCAGTAAGGAGCTGATGAGCTCCTAAGTCTGATATTATTAAAATTTGTCAGCATCTTGCTTAAGGATCACAGAGCAACGGCTTCTCTGAGGGGAGCATTGGCAATGACGAGACCGTAGCACGACAACTCTTACAGCATCTAAATGCTTCAGTTTTCCGTGGTCCTGTTTTTCTAGGTACAGGGTAAACAAATGCCCTACTTGGGATTTTTTTATTATGTTTTTCTCCTGGCTGGCTGAAGATCATGTGTCTGT